TAGATGTAAAATAGAAAGAGACAGGCGCTCCCTTTACAGGCGACGGAAAAGAATAACAGAGCGGCTAAAAGAGGTCAATATATCTGAAATGCGTAGGGAGACACTGGTCAGAGAAATAGCAAGCATCGAACTTAAGCTAAAGGAATCTTATACGAGTCAGGAATCGCGGGAAGAGCTAAAAGCCATAAATGAAATCGAAAGAAACCCAAAGTATTTTTTCTCCTATGCCAAATCAAAGTCGAGAACAACGTCCAGTATTGGGCCCCTACTTAAACAAGATGGGTCCTACACAGATGACAGCAAGGAAATGAGTGAGCTACTCAAGTCGCAATATGACTCAGTTTTTAGCAAGCCGCTAACCAGACTGAGAGTCGAAGATCAAAATGAATTTTTTATGAGAAAGCCACAAAATTTCGTTAACACAAGCCTATCCGATGTTATCCTGAAGCCAAATGACTTCGAACAGGCGATAAATGACATGCCCATACACTCTGCCCCAGGGCCAGACTCATGGAACTCCGTGTTCATCAAGAACTGCAAGAAGCCCCTATCACGAGCCTTTTCCATCCTATGGAGAGGGAGCATGGACTCGGGGGTCGTCCCACAGACATAGCCCCACTCTACAAAGGGGGCAGTAAAGCAATAGCAAAGAACTACAGACCGATAGCACTAACATCCCATATCATAAAAATCTTTGTAAGGGTCCTAAGAAGCAAGATCACCACCCATCTAGAAACCCATCAGTTTCACAACCCATGGCAACATGGGTTTAGAGCAGGTCGCTCCTGTCTGTCTCAACTATTGGATCACTACGACAAGGTCCTAAATGCACTAGAAGACAAAAAGAATGCAGATGTAATATATACAGACTTTGCAAAAGCCTTCGACAAGAGTGATCATGGCGTAATAGCGCACAAAATGCGTGCTAAAGGAATAACAGGAAAAGTCGGTCGATGGATCTATAATTTCCTCACTAACAGAACACAAAGAGTAGTCGTCAACAGAGTAAAGTCCGAGGCAGCTACGGTGAAAAGCTCTGTTCCACAGTGCACAGTACTCGCTCCCATCTTGTTCCTCATCCTCATATCCGACATAGACAAGGATGTCAGCCACAGCACCGTGTCTTCCTTTGCAGATGACACCCGAATCTGCATGACAGTGTCTTCCATTGCAGACACTGCAAGGCTCCAGGCGGACATCAACCAAATCTTTCAGTGGGCTGCAGAAAACAATGTGAAGTTCAACGATGAGAAATTTCAATTACTCAGATATGGTAAATACGAGGAAATTAAATCTTCATCAGAGTACAAAACAAATTCTGGCCACAAAATAGAGCGAAACACCAACGTCAAAGACCTGGGAGTGATCATGTCGGAGGATCTCACATTCAAGGACCATAACATTGTATCAATCGCATCTGCTAAAAAAATGACAGGATGGATAATGAGAACCTTCAAAACTAGGGAGACCAAGCCCATGATGACACTCTTCAGGTCACTTGTTCTATCTAGGCTGGAATATTGCTGCACACTAACAGCACCTTTCAAGGCAGGTGAAATTGCTGACCTAGAAAATGTACAGAGAACCTTCACGGCGCGCATAACGGAGATAAAACACCTCAATTACTGGTAGCGCTTGAGGTTCCTAAAACTGTATTCCCTGGAACGCAGGCGGGAGAGATACATAACTATATACACCTGGAAAATCCTAGAGGGACTAGTACCGAACTTGCACACGAAAATCACTCACTATGAAAGCAAAAGACTCGGCAGACGATGCAACATCCCCCCAATGAAAAGCAGAGGTGTCACTAGCACGTTAAGAGACCATACAATAAGTGTCAGGGGCCCGAGACTGTTCAACTGCCTCCTAGCATACATAAGGGGGATTACCAACAGACCCCTGGCAGTCTTCAAGCTGGCACTGGACAAGCACCTAAAGTCGGTTCCTGACCAGCCGGGCTGTGGCTCGTACGTTGGTTTGCGTGCAGCCAGCAGCAACTGCCTGGTTGATCAGGCTCTGATCCACCAGGAGGCCTGGTCACAGTCCGGGCCGCGGGGGCGTTGACCCCCGGAACTCTCTCCAGGTAAACTCCAGGTAGAAGCGACCAGTGAAGAGGCGGGGCAAGGAGCTTGGACTCGACCCCTGCAACCTCAACTAGGTGAGTACACACACACAAATTCTCTGTATTATAAATTATTAAAAATAAATTGGTAATTAAGTTAACCTTCCAGTCACTCATTGTATACAATGTAACCTTCCAGTCACTCATTGTATACAATGTAACCTTCCAGTCGCTCAATGAATACAAAGTAACATTCTGGTCACTCATTTAATACAATGTAACCTTCCAGTCACTCATTGTATACAATGTAACCTTCCAGTCACTCATTGAATACAATGTAACCTTCCAGTCACTGATTGTATACAATGTAACCTTCCAGTCACTCATTGTATACAATGTAACCTTCCAGTCACTCATTGTATACAATGTAACCTTCCAGTCACTCATTGAATACAATGTAACCTTCCAGTCACTGATTGTATACAATGTAACCTTCCAGTCACTCATTGTATACAATGTAACCTTCCAGTCACTCATTGTATACAATGTAACCTTCCAGTCACTCATTGAATACAATGTAATCTTCCAGTCACTCATTGTATACAATGTAACCTTCCAGTCACTCATTGTATACAATGTAACCTTCCAGTCACTCATTGAATACAATGTAACCTTCCAGTCACTCACTGAATACAATGTAACCTTCCAGTCACTCATTGGATACAATGTAACCTTCCAGTCACTCATTGTATACAATGTAACCTTCCAGTCACTCATTGTGTACAATGTAACCTTCCAGTCACTCATTGTATACAATGTAACCTTCCAGTCACTCATTGAATACAATGTAACCTTCCAGTCACTCACTGTATACAATGTAACCTTCCAGTCACTCATTGTATACAATGTAACCTTCCAGTCACTCATTGAATACAATGTAACCTTCCAGTCACTCATCGTATACAATGTAACCTTCCGGTCACTCATTGAATACAATGTAACCTTCCAGTCACTCATTGTATACAATGTAACCTTCCAGTCACTCATTGGATACAATGTAACCTTCCAGTCACTGATTGGATGCAATGTAACCTTCCAGTCACTCATTGGATACAATGTAACCTTCCGGTCACTGATTGTATACAATGTAACCTTCCAGTCACTGATTGTATACAATGTAACCTTCCAGTCACTGATTGTATACAATGTAACCTTCCAGTCACTCATTGGATACAATGTAACCTTCCAGTCACTGATTGGATGCAATGTAACCTTCCAGTCACTCATTGGATACAATGTAACCTTCCGGTCACTGATTGTATACAATGTAACCTTCCAGTCACTGATTGTATACAATGTAACCTTCCAGTCACTCATTGTATACAATGTAACCTTCCCGTCACTCCTTGTATACAATGTAACCTTCTAGTCACTCATTGTATACAATGCAACCTTCCCATCACTGATTGTATACAATGTAATCTTCCCGTCAGTCCTTGTATACAATGTAACCTTCAGGTCACTGATTGGATATATTGTAACCTTTCAGTAACTCATTGTATACAATGTAACCTTCCAGTCACTGACTGGATACGATGCAAGCTTCCAGTCACTCATTGTATACAATGTAACCTTCCCATCACTGATTGGATACAATGTAACCTTCCAGTCACTCATTGTATACAATGTAACCTTCCAGTCACTCATTGTTTTACAATGTAACCTTCCCATCACTGATTGGATACAATGTAACCTTCCAGTCACTCATTGTATACAATGTAACCTTCCAGTCACTCATTGTATACAATGTAACCTTCCCGTCACTGATTGGATACAATGTAACCTTCCAGTCACTCATTGTATACAATGTAACCTTCCAGTCACTCATTGTATACAATGTAACCTTCCCATCACTGATTGGATACAATGTAACCTTCCAGTCACTCATTATATACAATGTAACCTTCCAGTCACTCATTATATACAATGTAACCTTCCGGCCACTCATTGTATACAATGTAACCTTCCGGTCACTCATTGTATACAGTGTAACCTTCCAGTCACTCATTATATACAATGTAACCTTCCAGTCACTCATTATATACAATGTAACCTTCCGGCCACTCATTGTATACAATGTAACCTTCCGGCCACTCATTGTATACAATGTAACCTTCCAGTTATTCACTGTATACAATGTAACCTTCCGGTCATTCATTGTATACAGTGTAACCTTCCAGTTATTCACTGTATACAATGTAACCTTCCGGTCACTCATTGTATACAGTGTAACCTTCCAGTTATTCACTGTATACAATGTAACCTTCCAGTCACTCATTGTATACAATACAACCTTCCAGTTATTCTCTATATACAATGTAACCTTCCAGTTACTGACTGGATACAATGTTACCTTCCAGTCACTCATTGTATACAGTGTAACCTTCCAGTTATTCACTGTATACAATGTTACCTTCCGGTCACTCATTGTATACAATGTAACCTTCCAGTCACTGACTGGATACAATGTTACCTTCCGGTCACTCATTGTATACAGTGTAACCTTCCAGTTATTCACTGTATACAATGTAACCTTCCGGTTACTCATTGTATACAATGTAACCTTCCAGTCACTGACTGGATACAATGTTACCTTCCAGTCACTCATTGTATACAGTGTAACCTTCCAGTTATTCACTGTATACAATGTTACCTTCCGGTCACTCATTGTATACAATGTAACCTTCCAGTCACTGACTGGATACAATGTTACCTTCCGGTCACTCATTGTATACAGTGTAACCTTCCAGTTATTCACTGTATACAATGTAACCTTCCGGTTACTCATTGTATACAATGTAACCTTCCAGTCATTCTTTGTATACAATATATGCAATGTATACATTTACCAGGTGCCACTGATGACACTTTGCAGGTGCCATACATGCACATGTTCCAAAACGCACTTCACGAGTCTATGAGTGACATGGCTGGCAACCCGCAGTTCCCGTCTGTGGTGCCAAACTTCTTGCTGGACCTGGGTTACCCTCTCACCTTCACTGGCAGGATCATCAACACATTCAGTGAACTGATCAGTTACGCCCTCGTCAATTATTATCTATTACCCAGGTGAGTACATGCTGAGTAACGTGAGTGAGCTTACATGTCACTCAGGCGTCTGGTGTCTTAGCCTATGTTCCTGAGTAGGACCTAACCTAACTAAACCTAACCTAACGAAACCTAACTAAACCTAATCTAACAAAACCTGACTAAACCTAACATAACAAAACCTAACTAAACCTAACCTAACTAAACCTAACTAAACCTTAACTAACAAAACCTAACTAAACCTAACCTAACAAAACCTAACTAAACCTAACCTAACAAAACATAACTAAACCTAACCTAACTAAACCTAACTAAACCTAACATAACAAAACCTAACTAAACCTAAACTAACAAAACCTAACTAAACATAACCTAACAAAACCTGACTAAACCTAACCTAACTAAACCTAACTAAACCTAACCTAACTAAACCTAACCTAGCAAAATCTATTAAAACCTAACCTAACTAAACCTAACTAAGCCTAACCTAACAAAACCTAACTAAAGCTAACCTAACAAAACCTAACTAAACCTAACCTAACAAAGCCTAACAAAACCTAACCTAACTAAACCTAACCTACCAAAACTTAACTAAATCTAACCTAAAAAAAAACTAACTAAACCTAAGATAAGAAAATCTAACTAAACCTAACATAAGAAAACCTAACTAAATCTAACCTAACAAAACTTAACAAAATCTAAACTAACTAAACCTAACATAAGAAAGCCTAACTTAACCTAACATGAGAAACCTAACTAAACCTAACCTAAAAAAACTAACAAAACCTAACCTAACTAATCCTAACTAAACCTAACATAAGAAAACCTAACTGAACTTAACATAAAACCTAACTAAACCTAACATAAGAAAACCTAGCTAAACTTAACATAAAACCTAACTAAACATAACATAAGAAAGCCTAACTAAACCTAACATGAGAAAACCCAACTAAACCTAACCTAACAAAACCTAACAAAACCTAATCTAACTAAACCTAACTAAACCTAACATAAGAAAACCTAATTAAACCAAACTAAACCTAACATAAAACCTAACTAAACCTAACATAAGAAAACATATCTAAACCTAACCTAACAAAGCCTAACCTAACAAAAAATAACCTAACTAAACATAACTAAACCTAACTAATCCTAACTAAACTTAACCTAACAAAACCTAACTAAACCTAACCTAACTAAACCTAACCTAACTAAACCTAACCTAATTAAACCTAATCTAACTAAACCTAACCTAACTAAACCTAACCTAACTAAACCTAACCTAATTAAACCTAATCTAACTAAACCTAACCTAACTAAACCTAACCTAACTAAACCTAACCTAACAAAAACAAATTAAAACCTAACCTAACTAAACCTAACTAAGCCTAACCTAAAAAACCTAACCTAACAAAACATAACTAAACCTAACCTAACAAAAAACCTAACCTAAAAAAACCTAACTAAACCTAACCTAGCTAAACCTAACCTAACAAAACCTAACTAAACCTAACCTAACAAAACCTAACTAAACCTAACATAACAAAACCTAACTGAACATAACCCAACTGAAGCTAATTAAACCTAGGCTAACTAAACCTAACTAAACCTACCTAACTAAACCTAACTGAACCTAACCTAACAAAACCTATTAAAACCTAACCTAACTAAACCTAACTAAGCCTTACCTAAAAGAACCTAACCTAACTAAGCCTTACCTAAAAGAACCTAACCTAATAAAACCTAACTAAGCCTAACCTTACTAAACCTAACCTAACAAAACCTAACTAAACCTAACCTAACAAAACCTATTAAAACCTAACCTAACTAAACCTAACTAAACATAACCTAACAAAACATAACAAAACTTAACCTAACTAAACCTAACCTTACAAGATCTAACTAAACCTAACCTAACTAAACCTAACCTAACAATACCTATTAAAATCTAGCCTAACTGAACCTAACTAAGCCTAACCTAAAAAAATCTAACTAAACCTAACAAAACCTAATATATATATAAATATGTATATATATATATATATATATATATATATATATATATATATATATATATATATATATATATATATATATATATATATATATATATATATATGTGTGTGTGTGTGTTTGTGTGTGTGTGTACTCACCTAATTGTGGTTGTGTGTGTGTGTGTGTGTGTGTGTGTGTGTGTGTGTGTGTGTGTGTGTGTGTGTGTGTGTGTGTGTGTTTGTGTGTTTGTGTGTGTGTGTGTATGTGTGTGTGTGTGTGTGCATGTGTGTGTGTTGTGTGTGTGTGTGTGTGTGTTTGTGTGCTTGTGTGTGTATGTGTGTGTGTGTGTGTGTGTGTGTGTGTGTGTGTGTGTGTGTGTGTGTACTCACCTATTTGTACTCACCTATTTGTGGTTGCAGGGGTCGAGTCTTAGCTCCTGGCCCCGCCTCTTCACGGTTGCTACTGGGCCCTCTCTCTCCCCGCTCCATGAGCTTTATCAAACCTCGTCTTAAAAACTGTGTATGGTTCCTGCCTCCACTACGTCATTTTCTAGGCTATTCCACTGCCTTACAACTCTATGACTGAAGAAATACTTCCTACTGTCTCTCTGACTCATTTGTGTCTTCAACTTCCAATTGTGGCCTCTTGTGTCTGTGTCCCCTCCCTGGAACATCCTGTCTTTGTCCACCTTGTCTATTCCACGCAGTATTTTATATATCGTTATCATGTCTCCCCTGACCCTCCTGTCCTCCAGTGTCGTCAGGCCGATTTCCCTTAATTTTTCTTCATAGGACATTCCCCTTAGCTCTGGAACTAACCTTGTGGCAACCCTTTGTACTTTCTCTAGTTTCTTGACGTGCTTTATCAAGTGCGGGTTCCAAACAGGTGCTGCATACTCCAGTATGGGCCTGACATACACGGTGTACAGTGTCTTGAACGATTCCTTACTAAGGTATCGGAATGCTGTTCTCAGGTTTGCCAGGCGCCCATATGCTGCAGCAGTTATCTGATTGATGTGTGCTTCCGGAGACATGCTCGGTGTTATACTCACCCCAAGATCTTTCTCCTTGAGTAGGTTTGCAGTCTTTGGCCACCTAGCCTATACTCTGTCTGTGGTCTTCTGTGCCCTTCCCCTATCTTCATGACTTTGCATTTGGCAGGATTAAATTCGAGAAGCCATTTGCTGGACCAGGTGTCCAGTCTGTCCAGGTCTCTTTGAAGTCCTGCCTGGTCCTCATCAGATTTAATTCTCCTCATTAACTTCACATCATCTGCAAACAGGGACACTTCTGAGTCTAACCCTTCCATCATGTCGTTCACATATACCAAAAATAGCACTGGTCCTAGGACGACCCCTGTGGGACCCCGCTCGTCACAGGTGCCCACCGTGATACATCATTACGTACCATGACTCGTTGTTTCCTCCCTGTCAGGTATTCTCTGATCCATTGCAGTGTCCTTCCTGTTATATGCGCCTGATGCTCTAGCTTCTGCACTAATCTCTTGTGAGGAACTGTGTCAAAGGCCTTCTTGCAGTCAAGAAGATGCAATCAACCCACCCTCTCTCTCGTGTCTTTACTTCTGTTATTTTATCATAAAACTCCAGAAGGTTTGTGACACAGGATTTGCCTTCCGTGAATCCGTGCTGGTTGGCATTTATACTCTTCAGTTCCAGGTGCTCCACCACTCTCCTCCTGATAATCTTCTCCATAATTTTGCATACTATACACGTCAATGACACAGGTCTATAGTTTAGTGCCTCTTTTCTGTCTCCTTTTTTAAAAATGGGAACTACATTTGCCGTCTTCCATACCTCAGGTAGTTGCCCAGTTTCCAGGGACGTGTTGAAGATTGTGGTAAGTGGCACGCACAAAATATCTGCTGCCTCTCTAAGGACCCACGGGGAGATGTTGTCCGGTCCCGTGTGTGTGTGTGTGTTTGTGTGTATGTGTGTGTTTGTGTGTTTGTGTGTGTGTGTGTACTCACCTAATTGTACTCACCTAATTGTGGTTGCAGGGGTCGAGATTCAGCTCCTGGCCCCGCCTCTTCACTGATCGCTACTAGGTCCTCTCTCGCTCTGCTTCCTGAGCTGTATCATACCTCTTCTTAAAACTATGTATGGTTCCTGCCTCCACTACTTCACTTGCTAGGCTATTCCACTTCCTGACAACTCTATGACTGAAGAAATACTTCCTAACGTCCCTGTGACTCGTCTGTGTCTTCAGCTTCCAGTTGTGACCCCTTGTCCCTGTGTCCCCTCTCTGGAACATCCTATCTCTGTCCACCTTGTCTATTCCCTGCAGTATCTTGTATGTCGTTATCATGTCTCCCCTGACCCTTCTGTCCTCCAGTGTCGTCAGTCCGATTTCCCTTAACCTTTCCTCGTACGACATTCCCCTGAGCTCTGGGACTAGCCTTGTTGCAAACCTTTGTACTTTCTTTAACTTCTTGACGTGCTTGACCAGGTGTGGGTCCCAGACTGGTGCTGCATACTCCAGTATGGGCCTAACATACACAGTGTACAGTGTCTTGAACGATTCCTTATTAAGGTATCGGAACGCTATTCTCAGGTTTGCCAGGCGCCCATATGCTGCAGCAGTTATTTGGTTAATGTGTGCCTCCGGTGATATGCTCGGTGTTATGGTCACCCCAAGGTCTTTCTCCCTGAGTGAGGTCTGTAGTCTTTGTCCACCTAGCCTGTACTCTGTCTGCGGTCTTCTTTGCCCCTCCCCAATCTTCATGACTTTGCATTTGGCTGGATTGAATTCGAGAAGCCAGTTACTGAACCACATGTCCAGCCTGTCCAGGTCTCTTTGCAGTCCTGCCTCATCCTCATCCGATTTAATTCTTCTCATCAACTTCACATCATCTGCGAATAGGGACACTTCAGAGTCTCCTTCCATCATGTCGTTCACATATATCAAAAATAGCACTGACCCCTGTGGGACCCCGCTCGTCACAGGCGCCCACTGTGATACCTCTTCACGTACCATGACTCGTTGCTGCCTCCCTGTCAGGTATTCCCTTATCCATTGCAGTGCCCTC